TCTGTCTACTGTATGACATCGTATCAGACATTGCGAAGGTGAGCTTTTAGCTTAGGAAGGGAAAGTGAAATCTACCTCACATTACTCAAAACATCAGACTTTATTTCTTGTCACAGTAACAGGTGACAGCTGCAATCCAGGACTTCAGCATATCCACGGACACAGTGTGGAAACTGACTTCAGGACATTTACCAATGAGGTTCCCCTACTAGGTCAAAAATGTGTTTTTTCCAACACCCAGAATCATGTCATCCTGCATAGAGATGATCCACCTCAAGGGAGAGATAATGCTCTTCTGTACAGTTTTCTATGCCCAATCTATCACAAGTTTGAAAACTAAAATCAAGTCTTGCCTGAAGTATATTTGAGCTCAAGGAGTTACTTGATTATATTTGTCATTGGTATGAAGTATTTTTGGCTTCTCTCCTCCTGTCCCAATCTTCTGTCAGGTGTAATTCTCTGCAGACATATTGCCTTCTTATTTCTCCCAAGCCAGAGAGCCCCTTTGGCTTAGTATGTGACATGCCCTACCATCATCAGTGTTAGATTAAGTAGGGAAGGAAAAACCTTGAGATATAGTTCCTTCTGATTAAGAGACAGATACTATTAAATACGTAAAAAAAAAAAAAAAAAAAAAAAAAAAAAAAAAAAAAAAAAAAAATCAGGAAAGCTATAAGTAGAATAAAGTTTGACAGAAAATAAAAAAATTTTTTGAGATGGACAAGCCACACAGCCAGCAACCACATGGAAGTAATTAAATCAGTCACTGAAAAGGTCTTAATGCCAATGGATGAGCTCATGAGCTTGATTGCCAGGGTGCAGGCACAGTCCCCAGTGGCTCTGATGGGTCAGTCTGTTGGTCTCAGTGTGCTGGGAGCTTGAAGGATCATCATCTTCTTGTGTCATCATGGTCAGGAGAGTGCTGTGGGACACCCAGATACAGTGCACCTCCATGTATCACCTAACCCTGGATTTGTCTTCCATGGTTAGTCACAAAAGCTTGCAACACAGTGACTCCTTCCTTTTGGTCTAGAGCCACTGAGATCTGAACTCGTGGATGTGGTGGTTTGACCCCAGCCAGCACCTAAGTAACATAGAGCTACTCATCACTGCCCCCTGGTCCTGGTGGGGAGGAGAGAATTACAGGTTTGCATAAGAACAGTTTAATAATTAAAATAAAACATAAAATGCTAAACATCAATCAAATTATAATATAATTAACATAACATAACATAACAAACATAACATAATGCAATACGATATAATAATAATAAAGGTTGACAACAAAGAGAGAGAGAAATAAAAATAAAACCCAAGAAAGACAAATTATGCACAGTACAATTGCTTACTACCTGTTGATCAACATTCAGTCCAACCCTGAGCAGCAATTGTCTCCTCCTGTCAACTCCACCCGTTTATTGTACTGGGTGTGGTATTCTGTGGTATGGAATATCCCTTTGTCTAGTTTGGGTCAGCTGTCCTGGCTGTGCTCCTTTCTGACTTCTTGTGTACCTGCTCACTAGCAAAGCTTGGGGGACTGGAAAGCCCTTAATTTAGAGTAATTATTTCTCAGCAGCACCTAAAACAGCAGTGTGTTATCAACATTATTCTCATACTAAATGCAAACCTCACAGTACCAGCTGCTAGGAAAAAAAATTAACTCTATCTTATCAGCAGCCAGGATAACAGAAAGAATTCTTTCCCCATCACTAACCCTGATGCAGCTGAGGATATATCCAAGTATACTACCACTTCCTATCAAAATGGTTGTTTTAATTTCCTAAATAATTATGTTAATTATAATACATTATTTAATATCCTAAATAATTTAATTTCCTTGCTTGCTGTTGATTTTCCAGTCTCAAAATGCTGCCAGGGCACTGAGATAAGGGAGCTGTGCTTTGGGTCTCTGCATGACTAGTTATTTCCTCCACTTGCTTAACAACATGCTTACATACTAAGTGTGTTGAGTCTTCTCACCAAAAAAAGCGTTGAACTTATTATCATGAATACTGTACTTCTCATTCTAGAAATCTCTTTGCTGCCGAGCTGCCCCACCTGCATTTGCAGAACTCTTCTCATAGAGCCAGATGTGATGCTCAAAAGCATCCTGTCCTTGTCATCATTGACAATATATGACTACACAGAAAGTCGTGTCTGACGTAACCAACTTTGCAGTCTCATATTTGTGGCCCGTTGTGTGCAGGAAACGCTTCTGGCTCGGGAAGTCTGCCTGCATCTGTGCTGCCACCGAAAGCACTGCTGCCCTGCCCACATACATGCTTTTTGATCAGCTCATCTTCCAAAAATGGAGACACTGTGATGTCAGGTGTGGTGATAGGTCCAGGGCATTTTATATGAGTTTTTTAAAGTTGTTCAACTTAAACGGTTCAAAGACAGAACCACAGAATAGGCTGAGTTAGAAGGGACCTATCAAGATCATTGACTCCAGATTGTGGACTCATGATCTCTCTCAGCTATTTATTGCAGTGAAATCAGGCTGGCAGTTTACAAAGTACCAGAGGATGGGAAAGTGGGATGATGTTCAGCCAGGATACTAGTTAACATGCCTGTAATACATATAGCCATAAACGGGATACTCTATGCCTATGTTACTTGCAATTTGTAATCCAAATTTTGTACTTGATACCAGTGACCTAGTTCTACATAGGTCTTGTATTAATAAATGTAGATGAAATCTTCATGAGGGGCATGCCAGTTACAATGCTGGTTCTTGTTTGAGAAAATCAGTGAATGTACCTGGAAATTCAAGTCTTCATGTACAGCAGATGGAGGGGAGAATGGGAGGTAGATTTTTTCCTCCTTGAACTCTAATAGAAAAGAAAACAGATGGAATAAGCACATTCTGTGGTCTCAAATATATTTTCTAATATTGACTCTTCAATAGGATAGAGTTTTACTTTCATGAAATTTCTGAGGAGAGGGAAGCAATAACATGAGCCATAGACTCAATTTTTACCTAGCTCCGAAGTGCATTTTATTGTAGAAGAATAACTCTTGTGAGAGAAGTGCTCTAACAAGGGTCCAGATAGAAGTAAACTTGTAGTAATAGATAATTTCAAGTACCCAGGATTAATGGCTCAAATACCACTGAAGGATATAGCTAAGAGTAGCAAATTCTTGTTACCACAAAGGACTGCTTTAAGACGGTGGCTTTGCTGGTGCCCAAGAGATTTAGTCCTAAGTAACAAATGAGATCTGATTTAAGAAGTAATTACAACTGACTCTCTGTCACAGTAGCTGCAAGATAGTGAAGATTAGTGTAGTGATCTTAACTGCAGAATGGCATAAAAACATGAAATCTAAGGCAAAGTATTTTAGAAAGTAAAATCCTTAAAATCAGCTTGGTAAATATTTAACTACATTATAGTACAATGATTAAAAGAACAAACACGCTGCATTAGATAGTTTGAGTAATAAATAAGCCTATGAAGAGTTAAAAGCAGCCCCCATGACGCCAGGGGGAAGCATCAAGAACAATGTCATCTGAACTCTGTAGCTGATGAATGTGTCAGAGAGGTTCTGCGAGGAAATGTAAAATTCAAGTGGTCAGAAATAAATCCGAAAGAAGATAAATATTTGGAATCAAAGACCTGCAGGCATCAAGAGATGAATTAAGCTGCCTTGAGAGAATGGATCAAAGTCAGCAAGAGATCTAACCTCTGCAGATGTTACTGTTTGAAATGAGCAGACCACCAGGGCATGATTTCTGAAAGGCAAGTCACTGTCAGAAACTGTCATGAAAACATTTAGTACTAAAAAAATAGTTAATTTAAGTTATAACTTTCTGTTTCTTTGAGAATGTAACAAAAGTAACAGGAATGAAAATCCAGCAGGATCCACTGTTTGCCGCTCCCTCAAAGGAATAGAGAAACTCTGATTAGTATTTTTCTAACCTGTTCTTAGAAAGTTGAATGGTGGAGATTATACCACAGCTTTTGGTGACCTATTTCTGTCTGTAGCTATCCTTAGAGTCAGAAGGTTTTCCTGTTTTATCCTAAACCTTTCCAGCTGCAATTAAAGCCAGCAAGGTTCTGTCATGTCTTCAGTGTCAAGAAGCACAATCACAAAGTGGGATCTCTGCTTTTCAGGATTTGCAACATATTGGAAGGTTGAGATATCACCTCCACACCTGCCATCAGCCTTTATTTTTTATAGCAAATATTACCTCTCCCTTTTTCAATAAATTTCCATATTTTAAACCATTTTTAAAGTACTCTTCTTTTCGTACTATTGTATTCAACTACCCCAAACAGGGGCTTCTGAAAGGTGAGTTAAGAAAAACAATTCCTAATCCTGCCTTACATATGACATATCTATTAGAATGTCCCAGGACGAGTTCTGTTTTTCCATCAGCATGGTATCATTGATTCTATTCAATGTGTGGTTTATTGTAACAGCCAGGTGTCTTTCTACAGTGCTGTTAGTATTCTCAATTTTGTATTTATGCATTTGATTTTTTCCTACCCTAGTACTTGGTCCTTATATTTACTGAGTTTCATCTTATTGATTACAGACCACTTCTCCCATTTATCAAAGTAATTTTGAATTCTAATCCTTCAGCTCCCTTGCACCCCTTTTCTTTGGCATTTTTTGAGTGTGTTCTCCATTCCATCAACCAAGTCATAAGTGAAGATTTTGCGTTGGATCAAATTTTGGTCAGACCCTAACAGAATTCTATGTTATATATCCTTTTTATTTGAAAACAAAATATAAATAAGTGCAGGAGTATTTTCTACAAGCAATTATGCACCTATTGTGTGCAGCAAGCTAGCCCAGAACAAAATGTTTCAGTGCCCTGTTAATGAGAATGTCAAGTGAGATAGTGCCCAAAGATTCCCATAAGTCAATGCACATCTCTTCTACTGCTTTTTTTTTGCTATGAGCCAGATAATCTGTTAAAGAAAACACAGCAGCTTATCAGGGTTTTTTTGCAACAAATCTTTCCTCCCTGTTTCTTTTTCACTGACCCTCCAGGTGCTTTAAAAGTGTCAATTTAATAATTTATTAGAGTATTGTTCTTGATGTTGAAATAATGTTGACTGCTGATTTTTCCTTTCTGAAGATGATATTTTATTCTCCTCTATTTAGACTACCCGTTGTTCAAGAATTCTTGAAAACAATGATGGCAATGTAGTGTTATAAATGTTTTAATTCTAGGACCACTTCACAGAAAATATCTGAAGTAAATATTTAGATACAATGTGAACATAAAAATCATGTCTCTGTTCTCAATATTAATATTTGACACTTGCTTCAAAAGGGGAAAATTAAGTATACATTTTAATAAAGACAAAACTTGCAAGACAGAAAATAAAGTAAAATAACTTTTCAGAAGGAAAGTTGTGTAACTAGTTTATTAGTAGTCTTTCTAGCTTTAAGAGATTTTTCCTTCTAAATATTACTGAAGCTTATTAGAAGAAGCTAGTTAGATACTTACTAGTTTTCTCTATCCAAACTACATTATATTAAATTACTGGTTTCCAAATTGTTTGTCTGGAATAAGTCGGTGGTGAAAGAATTAAAACGTGAACAAAGAAAGAATAGAGGTAGTGAGATATAGAAATATTGAAATACACTGCTCCTCACTACAAGAAAGACATTGAGGTGCTGGAG